GGAGGAGGAGGAGGAGGAGGAGGAGGAGGGAGGAGGAGGAGTATGCGTAGGAGGGGGAGGAGGAGGTGGAGGAGGACAAACAGAACATAAGGAATGGAAGGATGAGGAGTAGCAGAAGGAACGCGGCGCGAGGAGGATGAAAAAGAGCAGGGCAACGGCATGAAAGAAGCAAGGAATGGACGGACGATGACAAGAAGGACGAGAAGTCGGGCTTTGGGCATATGTCGTGGTGAGGGGTTCTTCGAAGACTTTTACTACCATTTGGGCGCCATCTTGGGGCTCTCTTGGTGGTCTATTGGGGCTCTCTTGAGGCTCTCTTGGGGCTCTTTTGGGGAGTCTTGGGGCCCCCTTGGGGCTCTTTTGGGGGGTCTGGGAGGCCTCTTAGGGCCGTCTTGGAACCCTTCGCTCAAAAGAGGGGTCGTCAATCTACACCCCCCCTCGGAGGCCCAAAAGGGGCGTCTTGGGGCCCTCTTGGACTGCTCTTGAGGCGCTCTTGGGCGCTCTTAGGGCCGTCTTGGGGCCCTCTTGGGCCTCTTTTGGGGCTATGTTGGGCCATCTTGGGGCCACCTTGACGCCGCAAGAGCCCATGGGACGCGAAACACCGAAACGGCACACGACGTTGATTTTCCGTAGGTTTTGAACCCATTTGGGCCTCTTGGGGGGGTCCTTGGAGGGCTCGGAGGGCACTTGAAACCGTCTTGGGGCCGTCTTGAGGCGTCTTGGATACGTGTTGGAGGCTATCTTGAGCCGTCTTGAGGTGTCTTGGGCGATCCTGGAGGCCATATTTGGGTTAGCTAAAGCCCTCTTGAAGCTATCTTGGGCCATCTTGGACGCTCTAACCCCTCGCGGGGGAGCCCGTCCAGACCCAGGGATGGGGGGGAGGTGAACCTCCCGAGCAGGCAATGGAAGGAGGCTAGAAAAGGAAACGCTCTAGACCACCTGCGCCCAGAGGGCTGGTGGGATTAGGCTGCTGTTGAAGGGGGGGTTCAGTTTTTTTTGTTGGGGTCGATTATTAAGGGATTTGGAGTACAATCTCACCTGGACCTTTCCCGAAGACGCCCGAAGCGGTGTTCCCGCACGTTGTGGTGTGGTCCAGGGGATGCCAGCACGTTCCGTTCTCAGGAGGCCGCCCGTTCCGCCGCTTCCGCCTTCCCTTTCCCTCCTCCTCCGCCCCTTCCTCCTGTCCTCCTTCGTCCCTCGATGAATGGCCCTTGCGCTTCGGTGACCCATCGTGGACGTGGCGGGTGTTGGTGGCGTACCCTGCTCGGGTCGACGGCGAAATCCGAACCCTGCCCTCGCCGATCAACGATTCAGGCGACTCGATGGGCGGCGGGGGTAGGGTTAGGACTTCGTCGATCGTTTTTGCGAAATCTGAGACCTTGGCCCGCCTCCCATCGATTCACGAGACTCGATGGCTGGAGGAGGTGCGGTCAGGTCGCACAGTAAGGATGCGCGACTTTCCGAGTCTACCCTTGGCATCCTTTCCCTTCGGCTCATCCTTGGCCACTTCCGCTCGCCGCGCCCCCCTCAAACGATGTCGACCTGGCCCTCCAATCGGCGGCGAGCGAGGGGGGGAAGTGAGAAGGAGAAGGCCTCCTCAGCAGGCGGCGGGACTTCTCAGAAGCCCTCGCGCCTTCCGAGAAGTTCTCCGTGTCTTCGGGGAAGGCTCAGAATACTTCTCAGCAGGCCCGTGGGGGACCTCCGAGCCTTCTGAGGAGGCCTTCTCCTCCTCACTTCCCCCCTCGAGCTCGCCGCCGATTCGAGGCCCCTGCATCCTTACCGCGCATCCTTCTTATGCTTGTGGAAGTCGATCAATGGAGAGGAAGCGTGTTGCCACATAATTTCCGGACGTCTAGAACACGCGTCAAAACTGTGTTAAGTAAAACACATGTTTTAGAGAACTGTTCGGGACATCTCTCCGACATTTCAAGCACTTTTGTCATTGGACGATCGGATTGTTAGAGTGTCCATTGTCATGGCATCCACAATCTTACAGTGGGGGCGCGCATTAAGAAACCATATTCTTTTCGTCAGGGTATCCTGGGTTTCTTCGCTCCGCGCGCTGCGCGGTGACTTGCCGCAGACGTTGAAGGAGCTGTTGCGTTCAGGGTGCTCCGGGCCTCCCCTCGGGTGCACCCCTCGCGTGGGTCTCCAGGGTTGGGCTTCTGGCGAGGGTCTCCTGCGGCCGCGCCCGCACTGCATGCGACTCGACCTCAGGGCTCGCGTGTCGCCGCCCGCCTGGGGCGGGCGGGTGGCCCGTCCGCGCCCCGGCCGCCCTCCGCCCGCTCCGTGCGCCGCGCTCCGGCCGCCCTGCGGCACGCCTCCCCTCCCTCTCGGGAGCCCGCCGGGGCTTCCGAGGGGGGCGCGGGCGCTGCTTCGGGCCGCGCGGGGAAGGGGAGGGCGAGGCGCCAGGTTCTGGGCCTGGGGAGGTTTCTTGTGCCGCCTCCTCCTCCTCCCCCTCCTCCTCCTCCTCCTCCTCCTCCCCCTCCTCCTCCTCCTCCTCCTCCTCCTCCTCCTCCTCCTCCTCATCCTGCTCCTCCGCCTCCTCCTCCTCCTCCTCCTCCTGCACAGTCTCCCCGTTGCTGCCGCGTTGGCTTGCAGGCCCCCGCCCCTCCGCCCTTCTCATGTCCCTCCTCCCCGCCCCCATTCCTCCCTGAGCCTGGGCCCCACAGGGCCCCACAGGGCCGTCAGAAACGGATCTGGTTTGGCTCGAGCAATTCTGCTCAAGAGCATTTGGGGCCACAGCGCTCCTCTGCGGCATCGCAACCAGGACGCTGAGTCCCGCGACCAGCCCTTCGAGCCACCGCGAGCCATGCCAATGGCATTCGGACGTTTGGCGCTGGGCCTGTCGGGCTTGTTTTCGGCAGTGACGGCCCAGCCGGGCGGCAGCGACTGGTTCCCTTGCCCGGAGTTGTACTCTGGGACCTTGCAGGCCGAAGAAGTGCCCACGGACGAGGAGTACGTCGCAGCGCTGCAGGCGCTGGACGTGGAGGAGCTGACGGGCGACATGACGAAGCTGCTGACCACCTCGCAGCCCTGCTGGCCAGCAGACTTTGACAACTACGTCGGGCTCTTCTCGCGCCTGTCATGGCACGCCGGCGGCACCTTCCGCAGCACCGACGGCAGGGGCGGGACGGGCGGCGGCCGCCAGCGCTTCGACCCAGAAGCGAGCTGGGAGGACAACACGAACCTGGACAAGGCGCGGGCGCTGCTGGGGCCGCTGAAGCAGAAGCACGGGGCCGGGCTGAGCTGGGGCGACCTGATCGCGCTGGCGGGGACCCACGCCATGTGGCACCAGGGCGCACCGCTGACGGAGTTCTGCTTCGGACGCCTGGACGAGCCCGACGGCAACCGGAGCCTGCCTCTGGGCCCGGGCCCGCTGCAGGAGGAGGTGGCGCCGTGCGCGGGCCCCGCGCAGGGCGCGTGCCAGGAGAGGCCGAACGAGACGGCGCTGGCGGCGGTGCAGGTGGGCCTGATCTACGTGAACCCGGAGGGCCCGATGGGGGTGCCCGACCCGGCGGGGAGCGCCCGGGACATCAGGGCCGTCTTCGAGAAGATGGGGGCCGACGCCCGAGCCACCGTGGCGCTGATCGGCGGCGGCCACGCCTTCGGCAAGGCGCACGGGGCCTGCTCGGACAGGGAGCACGGGCACCCGGCGGGGCTGCCCCCGAACCAGGCCCGCGAGGCGAAGGTCAAGCAGTGGCGAAGCGTCCTGGCTCGCCTATAGCCCTACCAAACAATGTTCTAGGAACCTTTTGTGGTGTCCACGGAACGTTCTCAGAGCATTTCTGGCTGGGACTGCCTCGTTTTTACACATCGGGTTTATGTTCCCAGAACGTTGTTTTTGTTCTTAGAACATGTTTGGGTTCTAAGAGCATGTCGTGGTAGGACTATAGGAATGCCGGGGCGGTCGGTCCCTGCTCAAGAAGGTGCACCCGTACGTGGGCACGTGCCCCGCCGTGGGCCACGGGGCGACGGGCACGGGGCGGTCCGCGTGGACCAGCGGCCTCGAGGGCCCCTGGACCAGCACGCCCACGCAGTGGAGCAACGAGTTCTTCGTGTACCCTTCGCATCGCTCGGACGTGTGCATCTTTCCTTCGGCGAGGACCATCGAGGAGCATCCTTGATCATGATCCCAGTGCGACCCTACCTAGGAGTTGGAGCCCCTAGGAAAGCAGCGTTAGTAGTATCAGTAAAGCTAAGCTAAAGCTAAGCTAAAGCGATGCTAAATCTAAGCTAAAGCTAAGCTAAACCTAAGCTAAAGCTAAGCTAACACTAAGCTAGATCTAAGCTAAATCTAAGCTAACGCTAAGCTAAAGCTAAGCTAAAGCTAAGCTAAAGCTAAGCTAAAGCTAAGCTAAAACTAAGATAAAGCTAAGCTAAAGCTAAGGTAAAGCTAAGCTGAAGCTAAGCTAAAGCTAAGCTAAAGCTAAGCTAAAGCTAACCTAAAGCTATACTACAGCCAAGCTAAAGCTAAGGTAGCTATAAGCTAAAAATAAGGTAAAGCTTTGCTAAAGCTAAGCTAAAGCTAAACGAAAGCTAAGCTAAAGCTGAGCTACAGCTAAGCTAAAGCTAAACGAAAGCTAAGCTATAACTGAGCTAAAGCTAAGCTAAAGCTAAGCTAAAGCTAAACTAAAGCTACGCTAAAGCTACGCTAAAGCTACGCTAAAGCTAAGCTAAAGCTAAAGCTAAAGCTAAAGCTAAAGCTAAAGCTAAAGCTAAAGCTCCCAGGGGACTGGGGGAACCGCTTCCAGGGAACCGGGGGAACCGCCCAGGGCGGGTTGCACTGCCCGGCCCCTTAAGCCAACCGAGTAAGAACCTTTCTAGGCAGAGCCTAGGTAGGGAATTTAGGACATGCGATAATACGTCTAAGGGCTCAAGCTGCCCCACTAAGGGCTCAAGATGGCCCACAGACGGACAGCATGCATGGAACATACGTGCGCACACACATATAAGTACACACACATATATATATATATATATATATATATATAGCAGCAACAATAGTGGATGCTGTGCTGCGCTATGCCATGCTATGCTATGCTATGCTATGCTACGCTATGCTGCGCAATGCTAGGCTAGGCTAGGCTAGGCTAGGCTAGGCTAGGCTATGCTATGATATGCTATGCTATGCAATGCTGCGCTATGCTATGCTGCGCTATGCTATGCTATGCTATGCTATGCTGCGCTATGCTATGCTGCGCTATGCTATGCTATGCTATGCTATGCTATGCTTTTGCTTTGCCTTCGCTTTTGCCTTCGCTTTTGTCTTTGCTTTTGCTTTTGCTGAGCACCCAGGGGGCGCAACCGGGGGAACCGCCCGGGGCGGTTTACACTGCCCGGCCCCTTCAGCCAACCGAGTAAGAACCCTTCTAGGCAGAGCCTAGGTAGGGAATTTGGCGACGAAAAAACCACGCACGAAACCGAAACAAGCACAGGGAATGGACGTCCGAGCGATGGCCAGGTACCTGGTCGACAGGGAGTGGGAGCTGTGGACCGGCCCCGGCGGGCACTACCAGTGGCGCCTGCGGGACCAGCCGGAGGACCCCCGCATGCGCCTCACGTCCGACATGGCGCTGCTGGCCGACCCGGAGTTCCGGCGCTGGGCGGAGGTGTTCGCGCGGAACGCGACCGCCCTCGACGAGGCCTTCGACGAGGCGTGGCGCAACCTGATGACGGCCGGGGGCGGTTGGTCGTCCCGCAAGCGGTGCGTCCAGCTGGGCCCCCCGCCCGAGGACCCCGCCGGCCCCTCGCGCATGCTGGACACGGACATGGGGGCCGCCGCCGGTGAGGAGGCGACCACCTCCTCGGGATCTCAGGGCCTCGGCGTGGCCAGCCTGGCCGCCATCGCGTCCCTCGCCGCCCAGGTGCTGAGCTCCGCGCCCTGAGAGGCTGCGCAGCCCCGCCCAACACCCCCCCAGCCTGTTTCCGCGCCTTCCCATGCAGGGCGCGTTGGGGGTCCACGAGGCGTTTGGCTGAGGCGCTTCGCTCGCAGGGCGGCATCGCGCCCTGCCTTCCCGGGAGGGGGTCGGTCCCCGCAAAGTCGGGCCCGCGGGCAGGCAGCGCCGGGCAGGACTTACAGCGCACGCGTTCGCCCTCTGTCGGCCCGCCTCTCCTTATCCCTGGCCTCCCCGAGCCAGTTCCGAACGAGGCAGCAGGGAGCGGCAGCATCGCGATGCCTGGACATTGGCGCTCACTTACAGGAAGAGCATCCCGACCCCCAAAAACAAAAACTGCACGAGATGAACCCCTGGAGGAGCCTGGGGACAGATTTTGAGCGGATTTGCCTTCATCCTCCTTTCTTGAGAGATTTTCTCTGGGCCCATCCAGTCCAGATCCCCTGGCCGCCTTCCCCCCCCGCTTTCCCCCATTTGGTTGTGATGGACACTGAAGTGTCGCCAAATTTGGAGGATTCGCGCGTGTCCCACACAGGACGACGCACGGAGACACAACCGCGGCCCACCGTTTGGATCTGATGCCGGCGCCCCGGCGCCATCGCCCAGCCCCACGCGGGGCCGTCCCCCCAGGAAGTTCTAGGCTTAAGTCGGGCCTGTCCCCTCTACAAGGGAATTTTCTACGGAAAACAATGAATACCCCCAAAATCGTCAAAAAATAGTCCAAAATAGTCTGGGGACTATTCTGTGAGTATTTTACGACCTTTTCGGGGCACTTTTGGGGTATTTTGCATTTTTCGTCGAAAATTCCCCCTGTAGGGGGACGCGCCCGACATAATTCTAGGCGCGCTTCCGCTTCCCCTTTGCCCCGCCGCCCCCTGCCTCCCGGGGCGCCCTGCTCGAGTGGCGAAGGGGTACCCGCGGCCCCGAGGCGTGGCTCATCGTGCGGAACCAGATGCAGGAGCGGCTGTGCCGGCCCCCCTACGGTGCCTCCGGCTCCCGAGACGCAGCGTGGTAGAGGAGGAGGAGGAGGAGGAGGAGGAGGAGGAGGAGGAGGAGGAGGAGGAGGAGGAGGAGAAGAGGAGGAGGAGGAGGAGCAAGATGAGTAAGATGAGGACGAGGAGGACGAGGACGGAGGAGTCAGGAGGGAGGAGTCACGAGGATGAGGACGGAGGCGTCAGGAGGGGAGGGGAGGAGGAGGAGGAGGAGGAGGAGGAGGAGGAGGAGGAGGAGGAGGAGGAGGAGGAGGAGGAGGAGGAGGAGGAGGAGGAGGAGGAGGAGGAGGAGGAGGAGGAGGAGGAGGAGGAGGAGGAGGAGGAGGAGGAGGAGGAGTTCGTAGCCATTTTGGCTCAAGTCCGTAGCGTTGGCCCAGGACGAGAGTATTTTGGCAGGTGGATTTTACGGCCCCACGAACTTGGTGTACTGTACTGCGGCTGAGCCACACAGTTTCATCCACAACGATATTGTTTCGCACTCCACTGTACCCTGCGCAGATGGCTCCTCACTTTCCTTCTCTCGCTCGCGTGTGGAAGTGTGTGGGCTGCGGTTACTCCCGCAAAAAGTGGCACTGAGACTGGTGCAAGCATTGCGGCAACAGGTGGAAAGAATTCAACACGCTCGCGCACAAAGAATGGCCTCCGCTCCCAGAGTGGCCCAATTCAGGGAAGATCAAGAGCGCGGGTGGTGCTGTGCTCGGTGGCGGAGGAGATGCACACACATCTCCCTTTGCCAGCCTCGTGTCCGATGACGGTACTCAGCAGTCCATGTCCATCGCAGAGATCGAACAACACGTCGGTCTCCACCGCAAATCTGGCAATGAGGAGTTGACGAGGAAGTATGAGAAAGAGTTGGAAACATGACAAAAGGCAATGGGCCATGACACCAGAACATGTTTCGGCGCAGATCAAAGCGGACAAGGCCTTCAAACAAGTTCAACATATTGAACCCCTCCTACTTCAGCAAGTTGCTGCCCACGACAAGGTATCTCAACAGCTGGCCTATCACGTGGGCCAGGTTTCTAAGTTGCAGCAGTGGCTGAAAAAACATGAGGAATATTACAAACAGGCCATCGAATAACTCCACCTGGGTGTACGCGGTCCCGAGCCAAACATGTCCACGCCAGCACCCGCGGTGTCTATCGATGAGGTATTCACTGGCATATGGCTGTTTGCGGACCCCAACCCAGTGGAGCTGTTCGGCTTGTCGGAATATGTGGATCTCACGAAGGAAGAGAAGGGTTAAGCTAAAGCACGCACAGCCCGTCTCAAGGAAATGTTCGAGGAGGCCACGCAACATCTGGTCGGGGCAGTCAAATGGCGAGCCGAACAATTGCGTGCAGAACATGGCGAACAACAGAAAAGCCTGGAAGGGAAAAAAGGAAAGGTGGGTGAAGGTGGTGGAGCTTGGGGAGGAGATGACAAGGACGGATGAGCAGGAGGACCCAAAGAAGCAGGAGCAGCATAACCGGAGACAGCAGTCGGGACCATCGCGTCGGGGTCGTCGGCGCAGTCGCAGTCCCAAGGATCGTCACAAAAGTCAGGCGAGCCAGGTCTCCGTGCCGAGGTCCAGGACATCCCCGGGAACAGCCGAAAGCCGCCCCACCCGTTCGACAAGGAGCTGGCAAAGGAAAGTCGGGTTTTTGATGGGTGCCCTCCCAAAGTTCCCTGTCGAGTCCACCAGAACGCCCTCCGTCTTAGAGCCCAAGCGAGGACGTAATGTTGAAGATCTGGAGGTGATCACAGCCAGTGGTTCCTCTTGGAAGTCCGTGGAGTCTGCTTTACCTCTTCTCACTGCGTCCATCATCCTGGTTCAAGAGCACAGGTTGTTGCCGCGTCGTTTCTCGCAGGTGAAAGCTTCGTTGCGCACGAAAGGTTGGCAGTTGCTCGGCGGCCCAGCTGGGAAGACAGCGCAGGGCAGAGCATCGGCAGGTGTCTTGATAATGGTCAGAGCCCGCTTGACAGCGTGGGCACCTGACGAAGGATTTTCCCCAGGTGCGGGGGCCAGGGCTGCTCGCTGCGTTGTGCGCAGTCGAGAATTGGGTACGTCATGGTGGCCACTTGTTATCTCCATGCGGGGGACGGTTTGCCTTCCCGCATCTCAGGATCCTGCGTCTACTGGGAAGGCGTCCACTTCGGCATCGAGCCCCGTTCTTGATAGGAGGTGATTGGAAAGCTTCTCCTGCTGCCATCGACACCGCGCCGCCCTTGCACGTCCTAGAGGGCGTCACCAGGGGAGACCCAGACTCGCCATCATGCGTCGTGGACGGCTGCGAATCCATGTAAGACTTCTTCCAAAAGGGCGAGCGCCTGGATAATAGGATGGGATATATACGCGTCATGGTGGATATGCCGACTGATCCGCATAAGCCAAGGCTCTTTCGGTTCCAACCAAAAGTACCAGCAGCCGCCAGGACCGACAGTATGCGTTACACGGAGAACAGCGTCAACAAACTACGGATGACATGAATGAGGTGTTCAATCATTGGAATGACCATGCTTGGATGGAGGTTTTGACGCTCGCGGGATATGATGCACCTGGACTAGCAGGTGGTGCTGACCCCGAGTGGGAGCTGAACCCCCATCGGGAACTTCTTGCTCGCGCGTTCGCGCTTCAAGCTAGACCCGCAGCGCGCGCTCTCGCGGGCTACCCGCCGACTTGGGGAGATCAAGGCGCTTGTCTTGGAAGGCAGGACTACGACATGTGAAGGGCTTGGTGCAACTCCGTGCTCGGAAGAATGGCCCCTTCTGTTTGTGCTGGAAGGAGGGGCTACCTTTTGGAATTTGGTTCTTAGTAGCGTGGGCAGCCTCATGCCTCATTGAGGGGGATCATGATTTGGGCTTGGTTTGGTGTCAGGAGGTTCTTGAGTTTGCGCGACATATTCATGGCCATATTATTCTGCCGACATCCAAGATCCGAACACGTACGCGGAAGGAATGGCGTGGCGAGGCCGTGGGTCGTGTTGCCAAAGCAGCTCGTGGATACCTCAAGGATTCCGTTCAAATTGAACTTCGGTGGTCCACCATAGGAGTGTCCTGCTTGCGTGTCGTTGAATGCTCCGTTGCAGGTGGAACGTGACAAGTGGAATGGCAATGTGGAGCTTCGATCAGCAATCTCCAATGGCCACCTTTTACCAACGAGGTCATGAGTTTGCCATCGCCCGATGACTTTCGCTACCAGAGTAAGAGTTTCAAATGACGTACGTGCCAACCGAGCGGATGGCACCCCCGGCGCTACTCCTTGCTGGGTGACCACGCTCTCACCATTTCTGCGCAGGTCCTCTGCGTGGGAATGGTTGGTGCATCCCCCGTTTGCCATTCAGCGTTGCATTGTTCAGTTGGCGCTCAAACCAGCGGGTGCTCGAATGCCTCTTGGATTCTACATTGCGCCCATGAGGATCAGCGGACGGCTTGGCAAGCGCCGGTCGAGGCGATTGGAAGTGAAGCACGGTTTGGGCCCAGTGTGCTCGATGGGTCAACATCGTCGACCGGGCGATACTGTGTGGTGGCAAGCAGTGTTGGCATAAGGCGGTGCGAACACCAATCAGCATTACATGTCTGTTGTCTGGGAGTTGCCCCTGGTCTATGAGCGCGTGCCATGGGGCCGCTTTGTCGCGAACGCTAAGCTGGCTGAACCTCTTATTGCTGTAGTGCGATTGTTTGTGTGTGCCTTACGCGTGGCAGTTATTGCTCAAGTACGACCAGGTCCTCATGGGCCCGAGGTATCCTTGGCGCTGGATTGTTGCTGGGAGAGCGGGGGCGACGTTTGAGTCCAAGCTGGCGTTGCTGCCCGCGATTGAGGACGAGATCCGCAACATATCAGGATTTGTTCGATGTTGTCGCTGTATATCGACGATCTGTCACAGCATCAATGGGGGCCAGTCGTGCAAGATGCTCAACGAGATGAAGAACGATCGCAGAGAGTGGGGCGCTGTCTGCAGATGGAACTGGGTTTACCACTGGCCATGCACAATATGAACATGACTGCCCCCCCGTGGAAAGATGCTGTTTTTGGCGAGAGAGGCGCTTGGAGTGATGGGTGGGCCTGGTGGGTATGCGAGCAGAAACCTCGGCGTCGACTTCGCTGGCGGCAAGCGCAAGGCCCGCGCCGCCGCGCGCAGTAGTCGAGCACGGAGATGCATGAAAATGACGGCGCAGTGGAGGGAGATATCCAATGCGAAGCCGAGCAACCTGTGCCGCGAGTCACGGCGTACGGTTGCCAATGCTGTCTGTCCCTGCGACTGTGTGCGAAGCCGAGGTCAATGCTTTCGACCCAGCGCAAGTATTTCGAATCTGTTCGCAGGTTTCCAAATCTTGTGGGCTGGGCATGCGCGGCATGAGCGTGGAGTTGGGATGGGCGCTGTCCGAGGTCCAGGACCCCGCGCGCGTTGCTTCAGCTACTATTGAGAGGTATTGCGCTGAATGGTGGATGTCTTCTGCCCCAATGGGGTCTGCAACATCTTGATGCGGAGGCGCTGGGAGTTGGGCGTCTGGCCGAGCTGCGCAGAGCTGCCCGGGCCAGGTTGGTTGCGCTGCCAGTTTGAACAAGTTGTGGTTTCAAGAGAGTCGTGGCCCAAAGAATGACTTCCTCCTGTGGTGTCGCGAGGTTGGTTGGTCCTTGGAGGGGCCGTCCAAGTTTCGGGGTCTTAGAGGTCACTTGCTGGGTGCCACCATTCTCGCGCCTTCGTTTATCGCTGGGCAGCTTGAACGCCACTAAGAACTCCAGGGCCCAGAATGTGGCCAGGGCTGGTTGCGAGCGCCACCGCAACCTGATTCGGAGGCCTTCCTGAACCAGGCACTTTGGTGGGAGCTTAGCATCAGGATTTTACGAAGTAAGAACAACCGGACCCATGGTCAGGTCTATTGCTGTGGGCAGGTTGTTGGAGGATGCGTGCCCGCTGCGGCTGGCCTCAGGAAGCGGGGTTGCAGCGTGGGCCCCGTCTGCCCTCGCGGATGTAGGAAGGCGGGCGTTGTCTCCCACAGTTGCTTCGGATGTAGGTGTGCCGGTGCTGAGAGAGGTGAGATTTTCACGGAATATATCTGACTGCAAGCCCTCGCGGCAGGTGCTTCCAGTCTTTTTTCTCAGGGGCATGGTTGGCTTGAACAGAGGTGTTCCCTCCGTCTGGTACCTGTGCCATTTGTCGCGTGAAGGATGGCGTTCAGGTAGAATCGTTCGAATTCGACCCCGACGATGGGTTCTACGGGGGCGGCTCCTACCTCAGACCTGTCGGTGGGTACTTGGCGAGAACGGGTTGGAGGGGGGCGCGTCTGTCCGAGGCGGGGGGCCCGAGGAATTTACGGAGCTGTGCCAGATGTGCCGGGCAAGAGCTCGGCAGTGGTAGAGCGCGTTGCGGTCGTGCAAGCAAATGTTCGCATTGAGGAGTCTTCAGGGGCCATAAGGCCCCATGACGTCGATTTCCCGGCTCTCCTGAGGACTCAGGCCCCCCCGTCGTCTGCCCTGGGCCCGAACAGTGACTGCGGCCATTTCTGGAGATAAGTTGCTCAGGACTTAGATCCCTCGTGCTGGGTCAGTCCCCGCACAGCGAAGGCCCACCACCGAGAGGAAAGCGAGGCGCTCCACGACGCAGACCTGCTCGACATCCGCAGCGACTAGGCGGTGGATTGGTTGGCGGGCCAAGGCGCCCGCGGGCAGGAGTTCGATCAGTCGGCCGTTGCTGAGATCAATGGAGCTCAACAAAACTTATGAGGCCCTTTTTCTTGGCAAACGTAAAGCCCTGGCCCTGTGGCCCCCACCTCCGAGCTTTTTCGTATTGGCAAGGGACTTGTGAGTCCGGGAGTGGGCGGGCTCAGATGAACCCGCGTGTCCCTCGCTGGCGCATTGATCACTGGAGATGTGCGTTTTGTTTAGGGATTTTTTTGGCATTTACTAAGACCCCCTGCCGTGCCTTGACCCCGTCCCTGCTCATTGTGATGAGGGATTTGGATAAGTTCGGGCACCGCTTGCGCGTGTCCTGGGCTGTGGGCTCGGATGTCCCCATCGCGTGGTGCGCCTGCGGCGGGCGCTACGGGGCGTCAAAGGCGCTGTCTTTGGGGAGGAGGTGTGTCGAGAAGGTCAACTCTAAAGAGAAGAGGCAGCTTATGAACGGTAAGCTCCCTATGTCTCCATGTCTGTTTCACGGGCCCTTCCCATCAATGCTAGTGCGTTGGGCAGGTGCAAGTACCTCGCGACTGGGGTGATCCCCAAGTCCCTTTGATCTGGGATTGTGCCCGAGTGATGTGTTGTGTTTTGTATGACTCATCTGTACTGGTCTCTATGGGTCCCTAAGGAGGTGGAGGAGGAGGAAGAGGAAGGAAAGCAGAGGCAGGAGGAGGGAGTGGAAACGACGAAGTGAAGGAGCGACAGACGGAGAGAATAAACGCGCGACGTGGGTGGTACTTTGGCGCATCACGTTAGCCAGCGTGCAGGCGTCAAGAGGTGGATGTGCTATTCTGCTTCACCCATCCGCGGCCGTCAGCGCTGGCCGACGTGCCGCAGGGGGAGCCACGGCCCCTTGTCGTATGCATTGACGGCAGACGTTGACACGGCAGAGGTGGTGGAGACCGTGGCCGTCCCCATGGTGGCCGCGGCCGCAGCGGCCGCAAAGAGCAGCGGCCTGTGCTTATGGGGAGACGTACGTGTGTCACCGCCCAGCAAGCCACTCCAACCCAACCCGAAGGCCCCGATTTGCCTTCCATTTCTAGTGTGGGGGGTCGGGGGGTCGGGGAGCATTTTCGGAAAAAAACGCAGATGAAACCCCAAACCGCCCCCACACCCGAAATTCGGGTCTTCGGGTTGGATTGGGGTGGTCTGGTTGGCAGTCGGAGAGGGCCGTATGAAATCCGGTGCGCTGCCTGGAAAACGAGGCCCCGGACACCGTGTGATTTCAGACGCAGGGTTCGGAGCAAAGGACAGCGCTGTCATCTGGCATGCGGGCCGTCTTCGCGCACAGTACGACTTGGCAGTGGGTGAGCTGACTGCTTGACGCACGACGTTAGCCTTGCCAGCTGATGAATGGATGCTGGATGCCAGTCCGTTTTCGGACGCAGCGTTCTGTGATGTCATTGAATTTGTGACTCCCTCCCAACGTGCTTGACACCCGACCCCAACGCTAGCGTGCCAGTGACGCAGGACGCCCCAAAGTACGTCGTGATCTATTCCATCCTCTGTGTCCTGAATTTCTTCTTCGACGCCGTGCCACTCATCATCAGGCGCCGTGGACGGCCGACACCCACACTGCTTGTAGAGGGCGTGAGGGGTACGGGCGGGGGGGTGCTTGGGGGCGGAGGGAGAAGGACGCTCTCTCTCCCTCCACCTGGTCCGACGGGGAAGACATGCAGATTGAAGGGAAGCAGCTTTCCAGGTAAAAGCCTAATCATGGGGAGGTCTGAGGATAGAGGAGGAGGGAGACATTGCAGCCGCACTTTGAAGATGATGTGTTCACTGGCTAAGCGACGTCTTCTCCACGACCTGCTCTTGTTCTCAAAAGCAGCTCTGCCAATCCCCGCTCTCCTACCTCGCGCGCCCTCGCCTGCGCCCCCCCTCCTGCGAGGCGGAGGAGGAGGAACAACTGCTCGGCCAAGTATGCTACATGAACACATTATGGTTCGAGTGCTGGTTTGGCCCAGACCGGAAGTGCCAGGCAAAGTCGATTCCGAATTGAAGTTTCCCCCTCCCCCTCCTCGACCGTGCCCCTGCCATTTTCCTTCTTTTCTCCTTCCTTCTCCTGTCCTCTCACCCCCCGTCTCACTCGTGCCCTTCCCCTTCTCGTCATGCTGCTGCTGCGATCCCCTTCCTTCCAGTGCTCCTCTTGCTCGGGCTGCTCCTCCTTCCCCTCCCTGGGCCTCGCCGTGCCGGCGCTGCCCCCCAGTCTCCACGGCAGATCCGCCGTCACCGTGGAGCCCGGGTACCAGACCTCGTACGATGGCGGGGCGCGTGCGAGCGGGCGATCGACTAGACGTAAGAGTGACCTTTCGCCGGAGTGACCTTTGGTGCGGGCACAGATGGGCCCCCAGATGGCTGAAGACGGAGCAGGAGCAGCGGCTTGGCTTGCGCGTCCAGGTTTGGTCCCCCCGCGGCCCCCAAAATGCCGCGCACCAAAGGTCACTCTTACCCAGGGTCACTCTTGCGTGTAGCCGAGGGCGAGTTCTCCGTCATCCTGTCTTGCAGCCCGGAGCCCCCGACGTGTGTGGGCTGCGGCCGGGTGATCTCTCCCACGAGTTTTGCCTCGCCCAGGTTGGGGAACGACGGAGAAACATGACCATGCATTTTCGGAGGTCCGCGCGGACTTTTCGGATCGGCGCTGGAGCCCCCTGGCGGTAGGGATGGTGGGTCCAGAGCCGATCCAAGATGTCCACGCGAAGCTTCGGAAAGTAATGTTTATGCCGGTTTTTGTTTCTATTGCCCAGAGATTTCCCAGAGATTGGCCAGAGAGTTAATCGTTTCTCGATTCAGGTTTGTTTTTGGGGATGTGCTGCATGCTCTGGAGGCCGACGACAAGCCGCGTCGCAATTGTTTTGGCACCGCGCTGGGCGGCCAGGCCCTTCAAACTGGAGGGGCACGTGTGACGACCCCCCTTCCCGCCAAAGTTGAGAAGCGCACTGGGCTGGCGGGGATGCGCGAAGCGTTTAGAGTTCCTCGTCTACGTTTGAGTCCCAGGAATGGTGCTCTGACGCGATGCAGGATCGCCAAATCGCAACACTGGCTGTGATTCGCGGCGCTGGTATCCCAGGACGGTCGTTTTACAACGGGGGGGTCTCCCCCCAATGAAGATGGCCCTTTGTAGGGGCCTATGAAAAGGAACCTTGAAGGGAATGTGTATTGCAATATTGTTGATATGTCTTGGGTTTGCATTGGTCCTCTGCCTCCTCCACAATTGCTCAATATGAGTATACTCTCCCTCTTCCCCTGATGGCGTCCGGGTGATGGCCGCGCACCCTCCGCGTACTGTTTTTTTACACAGGATGCCCGGGAAATCCCGGGAAACGACTCTCGCTGAGGCGCCGGCGTCATTTTTTCCCAAAATGCTGCTCTCGTTGAGGCGCCGGCCTTCATTTCTGCTCCCGAATCGTTCCGAATCGTGCTCCCGCTGCAGCGTGGGCCTCATTTTCGGATCGGTGTTTGGCCTCCGTCGTCCAGGATGGCGTTCTCGCCCCAGCGCGGGCCTTTTTCTCGCGCGCCCATCCGCCCGCCACCACCACCACCACCCACCACCCACCACCACCACCACCACCACCACCACCACCACCACACCACCACCACCACCACCACCACCATCACCACCACCACCACCACCACCACCACCACCACCACCACCACCACACCACCACCACCACCACACCACCACCACCACCACCACCACCACCACCACCACCACCACCACCACCACCACCACCACGCACACACGCACGCACGCACGCACGTGCACCACCACCCACTACGCACGCGCGCGCGGAGCCACAGGTCCGCTACGACACGCGTCCGCGGATAGAGGAAATCAGCGCCATGGTAAGGGATGGGAGGGAGGGGTAGGACGTCAGATATGACGCGAGCGCACCTAGCTTGTCCTCCCCCTCCTCCCCCTCCTCCTCCTCCTGCTCTTGCCGCCTAAGTCGAGAGAGAGGCGCACCTTCCGCCCCCCCCTTCCAAAGTAGTTGAGGGCGCGTGGATCGCCAGCGTCTGCCCCAGCTCAGTTTTTGCGTCAACTTTGGAGAGGGGGGGGGGGGCGGGCAAGCCCACCTTTATGCCTCCCTACCAGACAGTCAGAGGGCCAGCAGGCGTTTCCTGACCAGACAGCTGGCACGCAATTCCCTACCAGGCAGTCGCATGTATTCCTTTACCAGGCAGTCGTCGGACAGCCAGCGGACATTGTAGAGAGCAGGCAGGAGTTCCCGTACCAGAAAGCCGGCGCGCAATTCCATATCAGACAGCCGCATGCAGTTCTTTACCAGACCGCTTTACCAGACAGCCGGCGCGCATTTCTTCACCAGACAACGTCCGTGATGATTACGATGAGGAGTCAGAGAAGGAGGAGGAGGAGGAGGAGGAGGCGGAGGAAAAAGAAAAGGAGGGAACAAGGAAGAGGAGGAGGAGAAGGGGGAGGAGGAGAAAAAGGGGGAGGAGGAGGAGGAGGATGAGGAAGACGACGAGGAGGAGGGAGGAGGGAGGAGGGAGGAGGAAGAGGATGAGGAGCAGGAGGATGAGTAGGATGATGATGATGATGATGATGATGATGATGATGATGATGATGATGATGATGATGACGTTGGTGATGCTGATGTTGATGATGTTGATGATGATGAAGATAAAAATGAGGATGCTGACGATGAATGTCATGATTCAGGTGATGCTGATGATGCTGTTGCTGATCAGGTTTGTGATGGGACTGCTGGTGATGATGACGATTCTGATGACGCTGATGATGATGCTGGTGCTGATGCTGCTCCTGCTGCTGATGCTCATGCTCATAATGATACCGATGATGATTATGACAATGGGGGAGGAACAAGAAGAGGAGGAGGAGGAGGAGGAAGAGGAGGAGGAGGAGTACGACGACGATAAATATGACGAGGAGGACGAGGAGGGAGGAGGAAGAGCCAGGATGAGGAGAGGAGGATGTCGAAGGAAAATGACAAGAGGATACAGGGGATGAGGATACAAACTGCCCTGACGTGACTACGAGTCGAAGGAAGGATGGAGGTGCCCATGATGTATTGGTGCACGGATTGTACCTGCATGGGAGGGGGATGGATGGAAGGAAGGATGGAGGCATGGAGGGAGGTTCGCGGAGGAGCCTGGATGGAGGCGGTCTGGATGGAGGGAGGGGAGGGTGAGAGAACAGGGATGCTCGATGGAGGGAGGATGGAGAAGGCTGATTGGCAGGAGGCTGGATGGAATGAGGTAGGGAGGAGGGAGTCTGGATGGATGCGCGTTGGATGGAGGGAGGGGTGGGGGTGGGAAGAGGGAGTCTTCGATGGAGAAGGGTGGCGGATAGGAGGACGGAAAAGGGGTGGATGGCTGGACGGGTGGAGGGCGGCTAGAGGGGCACTGCATGGTGGGACGCTGGATGGCTGGATGGAGGGTGGATGGATGAAGGCTGGAGGAGGATGGAAGGAGGCTGCATGGCAGGAGGGTGGATAGATGGAGGCTGGAGGAGGAGGAGGAGGAGGAGGAGGAGGATAATCACGGGGGAAGCGGAGGGGGATTGGGCGGAGGTTGAGGGGTAGACGTATGTGGTGACAGGTGCGGAGTAATCCCTCGAGTCGGGCCTACTAACGTGTCACGTTAATTGTGGCGCGACTTGTAGCTCGGCAGTGCCAGCGGTTCGTGGGGCGACTTCGCCCCCCCCCCCCCCTGGCGTGGAGGACGCGTATCGCTTCCGAGGGCCACCACCAGGGGAACCCCAAGGCGCCATTGTCGCCCCCCCCCCCCCCTCTTGGGAGGCATGAAGTGATTTCCTTGCCCTGGAAGTGCTGTCTCGCCCCGCCCTCCTGCTGTCCTGATTTCCACAGTCTCAGTAAGTGATCCCGGAAAAGTCTCAGCAGGGTTCCGGTAGGGCTCCGAGCGGGTTCTAAGAGGAACCCGACTGGATCCCAATCGTGTTCCAACGAGATCCCAAGAGTATTCCAATCGGATTCCAATATGGTTCCAAAGCGACTGTTCTGACGATCGCGTATGCTATCACAATCACTTTCCTGAATGACAGCGCTGTTTCCATTGCTACTACTCGCACTTCCGTTACTGCTATTGTTTGTTATGATTACTACTGCTACTACTGTGTATTTGTTTGGCTATTCGAGCTCCTTGTGGTACTACTGCCACTGTTCTTGAACCCGTTCTTAGTACTGTTGCGCTTATCCTGTCCGACCATTCTTCCTATTTGCACTATGATCCCACTATGATCTCTATTGCCACTGCGTTGACATCAGGCCAATGTGCAATGTTGTATTCGTATGTCCTCTACCGCTAGTGCATTCTTTCATTATGTGCGTATCCAACTGTTCAGTGTTTGTGGCTCTTGCTGCCAGCACTGCGACAGCGACTATTGGAGCAGTACGACCATGATTCCTATTACCACCCTCCCCCCTGACGGAAGGTCGTCTCGCTCGTTCCCACCCGCCCTCCCCTCACATAGTAGCACCCGAGTTTCAGCACGGGCAGGGACATCCGTTTCAGCCATTGGGAATCAATGTGAACGCCAGCCAGGCGCGCCCGCGAGGTGCGCCGCGCGTGCCAGGGCATCCCCATCACCCCTGCCAAAAGCAACAATGCAAACGCACCCCCCCACTCCTCCGGTAAGGGAACAAAAAGTGGACCCCCTTCGTTTTCGACCCCGCGTTCGCCCCTTTTCCCCCTCCCCCCTCCCCCCAATTTCCGAGTTGGCTTCGGCCTCCCGGAGGCCCTGAGGGTTCCACTCTTTTTGTCCTCTCACGCCTGTGCTGCCGAATGTGCCCTCTCCCCGCTCTTGCGCGCTGACTAAGTCGCTTCTCGGTCCCCCCGTTTAGCTCTATCGCTGGTGCAGTCGGCTCTGCCTCGCCGCCGACGCAAAAACATGCTGCCAAGTGCTCGAGGTCAACTCTGCAATCTGGGGAAGGGGGGGGGGTCCGCGGTGTCAAGGGCTCCTTTTTTCTGTCCGTCCACGGTGCCCGCCCCCCTCCCCCCGTCGGCGCATGGCCCACCGCGTCGCCGCACGAGGCGCCTCTGCCTCGTGCCTTCGGCAGGGGTGGCGGGCCTGCCCAGGCCAGGCAGCACGAGGCCCCCCTCCCCCCCCCGCCGACTCTGACGAGCTGCACTGAGAAGCGATCGCAGGGCTCCCGAACATGGCACAGAGCGCCACGTGCTTCCCCAATCCGTCCCCCTCCTCCTCCTCCTCCTCCTCCTCCTCCTCCTCCTCCTCGTCCTCCCTCCTCCTCCTCCTTCCTCCTCCTCCTCCTCCTTCTTCCTCCTCCTCCTCCTCCTCTTCCTCTCGGCAGCGCAGCGTCGTCGCCTTGCACGCGCCCACCCGCGAAAGCGGCCAGGCGCGGCCAGCTGAGGTTTCTGTTCGTTCCCGTTCGGTCTGGGTCAGGGGCTGCGGCTCGCAGGCTTGAGGGGGTTACGTACGCTGGGACAAAAAAGCATGCTGCAATTGACCCTGGTTTGACGCCAGTCGGGTGGGTGAGGGGGGTCACCTCCCCGAACGGGAATACGGGCGTTGGAAGAGGAAACGCGCTAAACTACACCCGTCCGGATGGTTAGTGGGACTTCGAAGCCACCTTGGGCTGTATGCGCCATCTTAGAGAAGTATTGGGATCCTCTTGGGGGTCTATTGGGGCCCTCATGGGGGCTCTGGGGGCTCATCTTGGGCCACACAGAGCCCTCTTGGATGTCATCTTGGAACCCTCTTGGGGGATCTCTCCGGGCCCTCTTGAGGCCATGTGGCCAGGGCAGCCCCTCCTGAGCCCCCCCGCAATCGCGCCCTGGATCTCTCTTGAGGCGCGCTTGCAGCGCTCCTGGACGCCTGGACGCTCTTGGGCCTCCCTATTGGGGCAATCTTGGGCCATCCTGGGGTCATCTTGAGGCTTCGAAGCCCGTCGGAAGCGAACCGACGAGAAGGCACCACCGTATGGATGTTCCATTCGTTTTGGAAGGAGTGTGGTCTTTCCGGAGTGCCATTGGGAGGCTTCGTGGCCATTTTGAGCCGTCTTGCGCCGATCCTATGGTTTTTTCCCAACCCTCCTGTGGTGTTGGGTACTTGTTTTGAGTAGAGCAGTGTTGTCTCCACCTGCTCCTCCTCCTCTCCTCCACCTCCTCCTCCTCCTCCTCCTCCTCCTTCTCCTCTCCTCCTCTCCTCCTTCTCTCCTGTTTCCTGTGTTCCCTTCTCCTCTTCTCTCGTGCCGTCTGCGATCTGCGCAACCTTCGCCACTTTCGTGGGCTCCTGGGAGGCCCAGCGGAGGTGGGTCCCACGCGGACCACCTCGGGACCTCGCCGCCCCCTGGGGGGCTTGCGATCTGCGCGATTGTCGCAACTTTCGTGTGGCCGAGCGGAGGTGGGTCCCACGCGGACCACCTCGGGACCTCGCCGCCCCCTGTGGGGCTTGCGATTTGCGCGAATGTCGCCACTTTCGTGGGCTCCTGGGAGGCCCAGAGGAGGTGGGTCCCACGCGGACCACCTCGGGACCTCGCCGCCTCCTGGGGGGCTTGCGATCTGCGCAATTGTCGCCACTTTCGTGGGCTCCTGGGAGGTCCAGCGGAGGTGGGTCCCACGCGGACCACCTCGGGACCTCGCCGCCTCCTGGGGGGCTTGCGATCTGCGCAATTGTCGCCACTTTCGTGGGCTCCTGGGAGGCCCAGCGGAGGTGGGTCCCACGCGGACCACCTGGGGACCTCACTGCCCCCTGGGGGGCTTGCGATCTGCGCGATTGTCGCCACTTTCGTGGGCTCCTGGGAGGCCCAGCGGAGGTGGGTCCCACGCGGACCACCTCGGGACCTCACTGCCCCTGGGGGGCTTACAATCTGTGCAATTGTCGCCACTTTCGTGGGCTCCTGGGAGGCCCAGCGGAGGTACGTCATACGCGGACCGCCTCGGGACCTCGCCGCCCCCTGGGGGGCTTGCGATCTGCGCGATTGTCGCCACTTTCGTGGGCTCCTGGGATGCACTGCGGATCCTTCAGAATGCTAGTCAGCATTGAGCGGTCCTGAGTACAATCGCCACATGTATAGAAAGGGTCGGGTACGTCACAGGGTAATGTTAAGAACATCCTGGACACAATATTAAGCCATCTTGGGCTATATTAGACCCATCATCTCACGCTCTCTTGGGCGCTCTCGGAGCCATCTTGGGCCATCTTAGACTCTCCAATGGGTCGCCGCCCCTCCCCCCGTCCAGACCCAGGTGTGGGGGGTAGGGGGAGGGGTCAAGACTCCCTCCCCGCCTGCAAGCCGTCTCGCTCACTCCAATTCGCCCTCCCAACACATACGTAGCACCCGAGCCTGGCCCGAGCCGCAGCATATTCAGCAGTCGTCTTTGGATGGGCAGCTACTGGGGGCGAATCCGCCGCCGCCGCCGCCGCTTCTGCCGCCGCCGCCGCCGCCGCCGCCCGCTGCCGCCGCCGCCCGCCGCGCCGCCGCCGCCGCCGCCGCTGTCCGCCACCGCCGCCGCCGCCGCCGCCCGCCGCCGCCGCCGCCGCCGCCGCCCCCGCTGCCGAATCGCCGCCGCCGCAGCCGCTGCCGCCGCAGCCCTGCCGCCACCGTTGCCGCCGCCGCCGCCGCCGCCGCCGCCACCGCCGCCGCCACTGCCGCAGCCGCCGCAGCCACTGCCCCCGCCACAGCCGCCGCAGCCGCCGCCGCCGCCGCCAAGTGTACTCTGTATTGTTTTTTGACCGGGATGGTGGGGGGAGGCCGCATCGGGTTCGCTGCGCATGCTCCGAGTTTGGAGGCAGAGAGTGTTTTGTATGGTTTTTACAAGGGATGGTGGGGGGGGGGCCGCATTGTTCCTGGTTGGCTCTCGGTTGCCTGGGGGAAGGGGGTGTATACTAATAGGGAACAGTGATCAAGCTACCTACCCAAAAACAACAGGCCGTCTCGCTCATTCCCACCCGCCCTCCCAACACAAAAGTAGCACCCGAGTCTCAGCATGGACAGGGGCCGCTATCGATAATCATCGGGAACCAACGCAGACGCCAACCGGGTGCGCGAAGCCCGCGAGGTGCGCCGCACATGCCAGCTGCGCCACGCGCAGCAGGTGCGCCACATTGGGCAACATGTAGACCCTCCCACCGTCCCTGTCAAACACCGATGCAAAGTGACTGCGGGTTTTCTTATGTGCGGGTGTGCGCCCACGATCGATTTGCATGTAGCCTTCTTGTGCTGGGTTCACGTTTTGAATAGAGCACCGTGATCTCCATTTCTCCTCCCCCCCCTCCGGGCTCCTGGGAGGTCCAGCGGAGGCGGGGGCCACTCGGAACCAGCCGAAACCTCGCTGCTCCCTCGGTGGCTGCGACTTGCGCAGCCGTCGCCACTTTCGCGGTCTCCTGGCAGGTCCAGCGGAGTTAGGGACCACGCGGACTCAGACGAGGCCTCGCTGCTCCTTTGGTGGTTGCGAATTGCGCAGCCGTCGCCGCTTTTTGTGGTCTCCTGGGGGGGTCCAGCGGAGTGGAGGTGTACGTGCATCCAGACGAGACCTCGCGGCTCTTTGGGTCTCTGCGAAGTATTCAAATGTCGCCACTTTCGTAAGCTTTGGGAGGTCCAGCGGAGGCGGGGGCCACGCGGACCCAGCCGAACCCTCGCGGCTTCGTGGGTGGTTGCGAACTGCGCAGTCGTCGCCATTTTCTTGGGCTCCTGGCAGGTCCAGCAGAGTCGGGTGCCACGCGGACCCAGACGAGACCTCGCTCCTTGGGTTGCTACGAACTGCGCGCCCGTCGCAACTTTCGTTGGCTCCTGGGAGGTCCAGCGGAGTGGCACCAAGGTCCCAGCAATGGCCGCCATGGACAACCATCGGTGACCAATGCAGGCGCCGGCCAGGTGCGCCAGCATGCACTTCGCATGTGTTTCTGGCAAGACTGGTGGGCGTGCCCACACCGGGCAATGTGATTGCTCCCTCCCGCCGTCCCTCGCCCCAAAATCACAGTAGAGTGATCGCGGTGCGCCTGAACATGGCCCAGAACATGTCGCGGCAATTTGCATATGGTTTTGTTTCACAGAGATGGTGTGGGGGGGTGGCATTGTCACTGTTTTGTCGCCATCGCAGTGGGCGAGAGAGTACTTATTAATAAGGAACAGAGGTCAGCCCCATTCCCCAGGGCGAAGAAGGGAGTCGGAAGAGGAAGCGTTCTGGACCATCTCCGCCCACAGGGCTGGTAGGATAGGGCCCATCTTCAGCAACCAGATGCCCATCGGACGCCGACGATCACAGAACGGTTAGGTGGGCCCCTTTTGGAGCCATCCTTGGCCATCTTGGATGTTCCAGCTCCTGGTGACAGGGGGGTCCACGCCCTCGGAGATTGGATAGCGAAGGCAGGAGGTGACACTCTAAACCATCTCCGCTCAGATGGTGGGTTTGGTTCCACAGGAAAGCACTCACGATTGTCATCACGAGGCCAGCAGAGATGAGCACGTCATTTAAGACAACAGCGCGGCTACGCAGTAATTTCTGGGGATCGTACATGGCCCCTCCTGCGACGCTAACCACGGCGGCAATCGCAAGAAGTGAACGACGATGTCGGTGACGACGCTTTGATGAACATCGCAACGACATGGTGGTCACATGGAACAGCCCCAAGGCATAACGCCTTGAAGTAGCATGGCGATTTAGTTCAGTAATGCTAGCAGCAACTGCAGGCGTCTTGGGGGTCATAATTCTAGCCAGCGAGAGGACAAAGGCACGCGATGGTGGATGATGCATAAAAGAGGTGGGTGGTAGGTACTTTGAGCAGGGCTGGGGAGGGCACGAGGACGATGATGATGATGCTGATGATGATGATGATGATGATGCTGATGATGATGATGATGATGATGATGATGATGATGATGCTGATGCTGATGCTGATGCTGATGCTGCTGCTGCTGCTGCTGCTGCTGCTGCTGCTGATGATGATGATGATGATGATGATGATGATGATGATGATGATGATGATGATGATGATGATGATGATGATGATGATGAGCAAGAGGTGGACGGAGGAGTTCAGCGGGAGAATGGGGAGAAAGAGGAAGAGGATGTGGGGGAGGATCAGGAGGTCAGATGAGGAAGAGAGAGTGGCGGGTCAGCGGCAGCGGGGACATTGTGGCTGGTGCTAGATAAACTGAAGCGGCCGGGGAGGCGTGGAGCAGAGTACGTACACCAGAACGGTCGCCCCGCTGCATTCTGGGAGGAGGAGGAGGAGGAGGAGAAGGAGGAGGAGGAGGAGGAGGAGGAGAGGGAGAATGAGGAGGAGGAAGAGGATGAGGAGGACGAGGAGAATGAGGATGTGCGGTAAGGGCCCACAGCCCTTCCTAGGACGCTTTTCCAGTCTCTTCCATGGCAACATGGCCGGGACCTCAATGAATATCGGTGACCCAGTTCGGCTCGAGGTCTGGTCTTCCCCGATGCTATTTGTCCTGGCAGTGTGGCATTCCAGTGGGCCGAGTGGCCTGCTCAACCAACTCTGGGCTCTGGGTCAGTCTTGGCACTCGAAGAGGCGCATTGTGACAATATGCGCCAGGCCTCTCTCCAACGGCGCACTGTCTGTCGCACCAGGGCGCTCACTTCCCATGCGCCACGCATTAGCTGTATGATCAGGGCAGTCCTTCATAAAAGCATCGGCAATTCCGCGTCGACCTCAGAGGTAGATATACGTGGTGGGACGAGTTGGCACCTCGCCCAATCGAGTTACGATTTGCAGCCGAAGCGCAGGCCTCGTTAGAAAGGTGAGATTCGCACGCGGATCTTGCAGTCTGTGGGTGTTCGGGGTATGGCTTCGGCGAGGGACGATACCACTTGGTTGCACGGTTTCTCATGGCCATGTCGGCGCCCCTTGGCTGGGGGGGGGGGGCCAGGCGGTCTCAGGATCTCGTGGGCCCACGAGGCGCAGACTGCATGAGTTATGTCGGGCGTGTCCCCCTACAGGGGGATTTTCGACGAAAAATAGTACCCCCAAAAATAGTCCCCAAAAAGGTAAGCACATACCAAAAACATAGTCCCGAGACCATTTTTGGATTTTTGTTTTTTGATTATTTTGGGTTTTTTCATCGAACATCCCCCTCTAGGGGGGCAGGCCCGACTTCAGGCATGAGCGGTCTGCCGCATCGAAACTGCCTTTGACCCATCTGAGGGGCCAACGGAGGGCTCCCCTGGGTTCATGGGGCACGACGTGCAGGCGGGGGGCACCACGAAGTCGGTCATGCCCCTCCACAGCTGGAGCGTTCCAGAACATATAGTGAGACATGTGTCGGAAACAATCAAGCAACACTCATGCAGAACATATGGTTTGAACTTCCCCCCCTCCCCCAAATGCAATGTTGGTTTCGGGCATGCCCATCCCTCACCAGGATCGTACCCCACAGGAAGCCCTACCCACGGCTCCATTGCATGGCGGCACACCCCTCACGCGGATAGCGCTGCCCCGCAGGTAATTGCGCTTAAGGGGAAGCTTCGCGTAGCGTCGCCCCACTCACGACGACACACTTCTCACACGGATCGTGCCCTGCAGGGAGTTAGCATCGCCCCCCCCGGCCAACTTCGGCACACCTGACAGCTGGAACGTTCAAGAATAGTGAGATCACCCTATGACGTACCCAGCCCATCTGCATCAAGTGGCAAGGGGAACTGGCCCACATCTGCCAGGACAAGGATGGTGCAGGCGCTGTCATATGCGGTGCGAGCTGCATGGGATGCGCTCACGCGGCGCGATCCGCAAGACATCAACACGGGGACGAGGAGCGATGGCCCAGGCCTGCGGAGGACATCGAGGCGGGAGCGAAGGGCAGGAAGAGGACGCGTTGGGGGCCGAACTGTCAGCGCGGCAGCAGCAGAGGGAAGGCGGCAGGGGGGCAGAGGACGACGACGAAAGTGGCGGGAGGAGACCGAAGAGTGCTGCTTTTGTCGGTAGTACGCTAAAGATGCAGCGCTGCCTGCGCCATGTCGCCACGGCGCCTGCTCATAGTTGGTGCAAGAAGCGAGCTCCACTGGACCCCAGAGATGGCGAGGTCCCCCGGTGGCCGCGTAAGAAGTCGCTCCGCTGGACCCCCAGCAGCCTTCAGAAGTGGCAACAGTTTCGCAGATCGCAGCCCCCCCAGGGATGGCGAGGTCTCCAGGTGGTCCGCGTAGGACGTCGCTCCGCTGCGCCCCCCAGCAGCCTTCGAAAGTGGCGACAGCTTCGGATATCGCAGTCCCACAGCGATGGCGAGGTCTCCTGGTGGTCCGCATAAGACGTCACTCCGCTGCAGCCCCTTGCAGCCTTCGAAAGTGGCGGCAGCTTCGCAGGTCGCAGTCCCCCAGAGGTGGCGAGGACTCCAGGTGGTCGCGTAGGACGTCGTTTCGTTGCACCCCCTAGCAGCCCTCGAACGTGGCGACAGTTTCGCAGATCGCAGCCCCCCAGGGTTGGCGAGGTCTGCAGGTGGTCCGCGTAGGACGTCATTCCGCTGCCCCCCCAGCCGGCCAGATCGCGGCGCCTGAGGGATGGCGAGGTCTCCTGGTGGTCTGCGTATGACGTCACTCCGCTGCACTCCCGAGTAACTTTCGAAAGTGGCGACATTTTCGCAGATCGCGGCCCCCCACGGATGGTGAGGTGTAGATTCTGTATGATGAACAGTTGACACGCGTGTGTGTGCAGCGCCGGCGCTTGGGCTCGAGCTAAAAGTGTGCGCCTCCCTCCCACGGCAGTTGCATCGGGGCGGGGGCGGCGATAGCGGTTATCGGCACTATCGATCGAGTTCGAGTTAGTGACGAGCCTCGACGACGACACGACGTTCGAGGGTAAGTTCTGACGAGAACGAGGTTGGTAGCGGAGCGAGTGGTTGGCCCCACCGACTCCAGACGACTGAGAGGGACTAGCCATCCCACTGAGTGACGCGTGTAGCCATGGCGAGTGACTACAACAGCGCGGTGGATCCCAAGATACCGGTGCTGAAGGGCGAGACGCTGAAGGATTTCACCCGGTACAAGCGCGCGGTGCAGGCCGCGGAGTTGAGCTGCGAGAGCTCAGAGCAGAAGAAGGCGCTCGGACCGAAGTTGTACCGCAACCTGCTGGGCGCGGACAACTCAATCAGTGTGCTGATCGAGCAGTCGGATCCGAAGGACTACGCGACGGAGGAAGGCGCTCGAGTACTGCTGAAGTACCTAGAGGACCAGCGCTTCGCCAAGAGTAGTTTCAGGGAGTTGCCGAAGGCGTTCGACCAGTTCTTCGACCAGACTCACTTCGAGCGCAAGGGTGAGGAGCCTATGGCAGCGTTCTGTACGGCGATGGAGGTAGCGAAGCGGAACCTAGAGGAGGTCGACCCGGACACGAAGATAAGTTCCAACGAGCTAGGCTACCACACGCTGAAGCGCAGCGGCTTGGATAAGGACGAGCGCAACCTAGTGATTGCGAGGGCGGAGGAGACGTTCAACTTCCAGAAGATCAGCACGACCTTGAAGAATCTCTTCCCCCGTGGCGGAGGCAAGCACCGAGAGCGACAGGCTCGCGCCGGTTGGCGCTGGGCGAACTACGCGGATGGCGATCCCACCGCGGACGAAGACGACACGTACGACGAGTACTGGGTCCAGGACGACGACGGGTACTGGTACGAGTGGGACGAGGAGCGCGGCGTCTACGCGGCCCTCGAGGACGACGAGTACGAGTGGGACAGCAGCGACATGTTCTACATCGAAGACGGCGCGGACGCGTACCTCGCGAATGAGGACGACGAGTACAACCAGGCCCTCGTCACGCTGCGCGAGAGCCGTTTCAAGATGAACAAGATCAGGGCGGCGCGCGGCTTCTTCAAAGGCAAGATCGACGGAGTCGTGGGCGAGAGTGCGGCGGCCGGCGGCAAGGCGGCCGGAAAGGGAAGCAAAGGCGGCGGCAAAGGCAAGGACAGAGGCAAGTCAAAGGAGAAGAAGTGCGGCAACTGCGGCAGGATGGATCACGCCACGCAGGACTGCACGGCGCCAAGAGCTTCCAGCCGACCGGCGAGCAAGGGCCTTAAGGGCCGCGGCAAGACGAGCAAGGCAGGACGTCCACGACGGCTGGGCTTCTGGGCCATGACGACGCTGGTGTGCGTCATGCCGGACCTGTTCAACAACAGGGGCGTCGAGAGCCAGGAGGTCACGACGGTGAAGGTCGAGGAGCCCACCGAGCACGACATCATGATGATCGACACCGAGAGCGACTACCACCTGCCCGACGTTCCCGAGGTCGACGTGATGATCTCGAGCGAGATCGTCTCGGCCTCCCTGCTGGACAGCGGTGCCACTGTGGCGGTGGCCGGGCGCGGCTGGCTGGACAAGCAGAAGACGGAGCTGGCGAAGTACGGCCTCGAGCCGATCATCGTGGACGCCGTCCAGAAGTTCAAGGGACTCGGCGGCGCACGACGCGAGGCCAAGAAGAAGTGGATCATGCCGATCGGCATCGGCAAGGTGCACGTGATCCAGGAGTACTTCGAGATTCCTGGCGACATGATCGGCCTGACGAGCAAGAAGAACTTGGCGGACTGGAAGACGAACCTCTACTTGCGCGAGGACGGCCAGTGGGCCGACTTCCAGGAGCTGGGCCTGTACGACATGGAGTTGATGAAGCTGCCTGGAGGGCACGCGGGGATCGATATCCTCGACTTCGACCTGGAGTCGTACGAGGCGGACCCCTTGTTCGAGCAGTTCCGCATCAGGGCCGAGAGCGTCCAGCACAGCGAGCCGGAGGTGTTCCTGGTGGCGGAGACGCTGCAGTCGGAGCCCGACTTCAAGCACCAGGGCGACGCCGACCGGTGGGTCCAGGAGGCCGTCAGGAACGGCAACAAGGGCATATTCAAGAGGAGTACGCTCAAGCGGATCGACAGACTCATGAAGGAGTATGCGGTCATATTCGATGTGTTGCGCGACAACAACGAGACGTTTCTCTGGGAGCTGTTTGCGAAGGAGGCGCGTTTTACTCGTGTAGCTTCGAAGGGTGGTCACGCGAATGCGACCCCCTCGGATTTAACGATGGGTGTGAACTTCAACGACCCGAAGGTGCGATCGGATTTTCTGTTTCTGATCAGGATCTTTAAGCCCTGGATGGTTTCGGTCGCATTCCCGTGCACCGCCCACTCGAATATGCAAGAGTTACAACGTGCTCAGGGCATGGGCGACCGGGTGGACGACCTGATCCAGGAGTTTAAGCCGCTGATCAACTTCT